CCTACCATGTGGATTCATGGATTTTTTTTCACATTCTGTCTCTCACAGTTGAAGTGTACCTCTGGTGCAAATTACTGACCTCTGTCATCATTTTAGGCGGGGGAACTTGCACAATCGGTGGCTGACTAAATACTTTTTTGCCCCACTGTATATATGTATATATATATATGTGTATGTGTATGTGTATGTTTATTTCTCTTTATGAATATGAAAAAGCTTCAGTCTTAAGGTACTTTACTTTTTTCAACTCCCATGAAATCTGCTGCACAGATATAAGACATCTGTTTATATACAGTTAACCACTGACCACTGTAATGAGAAATTATAGATGGGTACATCTGTTTCTGATTTTAGTGTGTGCAATCTGTCTACATGAAAAACATTTTGCTCATTAATGGATATTGAACAATTGCAGAAAAATTTAAAAATTCACATTTTAGTGGACTCAATTAAAACATATATGTATAGTATAATAAATACTCTGCTTTTTGCTGGAAGAAAATCGACAAAAATACCAGCCCACCTACACATTACATCTGCAAGAGCTGCTCAGCCATGGAAACCTATGCCCTGAGGCTCCTGCTGCACAGTTTTGAGCAGTTCAGTTTTATTTATATTGCACCAAATCCTAACAGTCATCTCAAGGTGCTTTATACTGTAAGGTAAAGACCCTAAAATAATACAGAGAATATACAAATAATCACACAAGCCCCCACGAGCAAGCACTTGGCAACAGTGGGAAGGTAAAAACTCCCTTTTAACAGGAAGAAACTTCCAGTAGAACCAGGCTGAGAGCAAGGGCTGCCTGCTGACATAACTGATGAATTATAACTGATGATTAAATGGTGTGAAAATGCATAGGGAGGGAAAAATCGAATCTTAGAGGTAGAAAGGGTGTCTGTTTTGTGAATCCAAACTGGGAGCTGGTTCCACCAAAGACTGGCCCTGAAAGCTGAAGGCTTGATAAAGTTTGATAAAAATTTGACTACCACAACTTTGTAAAAAAGGAGGATAATAGGTGCTTTTCTGTCCACATCTGTTAACAAGGTAAAGCAACATGGGAAATTATCCTTTATATAATATTAGTTATGCAGTCGCCACCTACTCTGTCAGGACCAAATGAATCACTGCCTCATATATAAGCCCACATGTAACAACCTTAATCACTTACTGATGATTAATGGTTTCAAATACCCTTTATGCATCCAGCCAGATAAACACCTGTATGTACGTCACACTAGTGAAATGAGGCAAGCTGTGACGGTGGCCTGTGTAGTGTGCATTATAAGGTATTTTCTTTTATTTGTTTCCAGGTGCTACAGATTTGTCCGAAGGACATGAGAGCTGATATTTGTGTTCACCTCAATCGCAAAGTTTTTAAAGAGCACCCGGCTTTCCGACTGGCCAGTGATGGGTGTCTCCGAGCACTGGCCATGGAGTTTCAGACTACCCACTGCGCCCCTGGCGACCTGATCTATCACGCTGGTGAAAGTGTGGACAGCCTCTGTTTTGTGGTGTCAGGGTCACTGGAGGTCATTCAGGATGATGAGGTTGTTGCCATTTTAGGTGAGTAAAGCTCCTTTGTTTTACTTTAAAGAGAACTATGTGTAATTCCTAATTTTTACATTAGATTTGAATTGATCTTATTTTATTTTTTAAAATAAAAATATATGTCTGGTACTTATTTTTCATTACATTCTAAATTAACCAGATAACAGGAAATTGACCTAATTTTTAACCTTCTCTCTAATGTCCCTCATAGCTGTTTTGGGCTTTTTTTCACTGCTCATACCGAGGCTGCTGCCTTGTGGCTAGCTCTGCACTCTAGCTAGCTTCAGATTTATCTACTTTCCGTTCATTAGCTTCATCAAACTAGGCATGTTTAGCTGGGCAAAGATGACTCAAGTGTATCATTAGATTTGTTGTTACAAAGTAATCATGGTGATTCACCCATGGTTTACTTTGTCAAATGTTTTGTCTTTCTTCTCTTACTAATGCCTACAGCCACAAGCTAATGACATGTTCGAGTATGGCTGTGAGTGCCTGAGTGATTATTTGTCTTCACCATTGTGCACGTGTTGCGCATGCATGAAACAGACTGGCTCATAATTGGAAAAATGTGACTGACCAGCCGGTCACCGCTCCAGGCCGAGCATGCTGAAATTTCATTCTCTGATGAACTGATCAGTGCATTTCTACAAAAATTAAAATGTAGAAATTAGTGAAAAGTAATCTACCTCTAAACAAACCTCATTCTATAATAATGATAAATTTGCATCATGCTGAAAATATACAACATGTATAGTATAAATTTTCAGGCCATTTGAAGGAATATACTACTACTACATGCTTGATGAGGAAATTTGCATTTCCTCCATTGGAGAAGCATTATACCTCTTCATTTCCCCAGCTGTCGAAGGACCTGCTGCTGATCTCCTCGGTTGTTTCACAATATAAAGTTTTAGATTACTTAAGCAGTGTGACTCAGACGCATTGACAATAGTGTCTCTAATCTGAATGTATTGTCTTGGAGGCACTTCAACACCAAAACACTGGTTGATAGCATAAAGGCTTTTAAGTCTAAGTGGCCTCTAGCTCTCTCTGAACATCATAGCAAGAAAATAATTTTGTTCGAGGACTTACTTAAATCCTCCCTTTTCTTTTTTTGCCTAGCAGCACTTTACAAACTGTCCCTGTCTGCAGTGTCAGCTGAGCTGTTTGGGGATCATTTTCTGCTGAGTGATGGATTCAGGATTTGGACAAGAATTTGTTTGTCAGTCCTCTCAGCAACAGTAAAGTCTGGTATTTTCAGTTTTATCTGAATCACATTAAGCCAGCTCACCTACTTTGGGCCCATATTGTAATCATCTCTAGTACATCAAATTTACTGCATTTTATTGGCTGCCCCCTTAAATATTGTCTGAGATCAATGAAAGATTTTAGCATTTTAAACAGTTGGAATGATAAAGATTTGTGGTGCTGTGAACTGCATTAACAAACATTCAGTTATGCCTGTATGAATTCATCAGTGTGAACTACAAGGGTATAAGTGAATTAAAATTTAAAAAGTTGTCACCTCCCAGCTTCACTTACACCTCAATAGCCATAATCTCTATGAACAATTTCAATCTGGCTTTGTTAAGGATTACCAATGACCTTCTGATGGCAGCTGATTCTGGTCTCCTATCCATCCTTATCCTTCTTGATCTTAGTGCGGCGTTTGATACCATTTCTCACAATATTCTCCTGAACCGGTTGGCATCCATTGGCATTAGTCATATCCCCCTTGCCCGGTTCACCTCCTATCTCTCAGACCGCACTCAGTTTATCCAAATTAAATCCCATTCTTCAAGTCTCCATCCTATTTCTGCTGGTGTGCCCCAGGGTTCAGTATTAGGGCCTCTTTTATTCATTATTTACATGCTCCTGCATTGATTACTGCAATTCCCTCTTATTTGGTCTCCCTAAAATGTCCCTTCATAAACTCCTTCTTCAAAATTCCGCAGCTCGGGTCATAACTCGTACTCCGTCAAGAGCTCATATTACGCCAGTTCTTCAGCAGCTTCACTGGTTGCCCATAGAAGCCAGGATAAACTTACTTCTCACATACAAGTGTATCCATAAATCTGCTCCTTCCTATTTGTGTGACCTGCTCCATATCACCACTGTCTCCCGCCCTCTCCGATCATCATTTGCTATTCATCTTACTGTTCCGTCCACACGTCTTACCACTATGGGGAACAGAGCCTTCAGTCACTCTGCTTCTCGGCTCTGGAACTCTCTTCCTCCAGCCATAAGAAATATAGACTCTCTTCCTGCATTTAAGTCACAGCTCAAAACACATCTGTTCAAACTGGCTTTTTCACTTTAGTGCTGATTTTACCTGTCGTCAAGTTCTGCTTTGCAATTTTAACTTATTTTATGTATTTTATGACTATTGCTTTTATTAATTTTGTTCTTTTGTAAGGTGACCTTGGGTTTTTGAAAGGCGCCCTCAAATAAAATGTACTATTATTATTATTATTGTTATTATTATAAAATTAGTGTAAAAAACATATTCTACATACCTGAAAAATCACCTAAAACTATATTATTTAGTGTAAAACTACCTAGAATAAGCTTTTGTGGTTAATAAGTGTCTTGGGATTTACTCTCAATTCTTTTGTTCAAATTTGTCAATCTAACCAGTCTGTGGTGTCTGTGAAACTATTTTCAGTGCTGTGTTCATTTAAGTTAAATGAAATTAGTTGAAACTAAACCTAACTGAAAATAAGCATTTTAAAATAAATAATAATTAAAAGTATTATAACTCAGGACTGAACAGAAAATCACAACGCAACACTTGCGATCTTTTGGCCTTCAAAGGTTACAATCAATACCTGTGCCACAGGTTCATTTCAAGCAAACATGTAATATGGCTGCCTGGATTGATTTTTCACTGATTTATTGTAAAGGCAATGAAACTGAACAACATAACAAACGAAATAAACCAATGTTATTTTTAAATACCTAGTTAGCTTCCATTATTTCTCAAGATTTTATCATGAGCTAATTTGAAAAAGCTTTAGTTAAAATTGCATCTTTCACAATCTGTAGCCAATGACACAACAGTCAGAAGATAATAACTATCTAACAAATGGTTATGTTGAGCAATTTATAATAAACCTGTAAAGAAATATTACCTGAACCTGCACATGATTAGCAGTGCATCTACAACTTTATTGGTTGGCTTTACACCAGCTCAACTAACTTGTGACTATAGTAGAGACTTTTCTGGAGATTTAGCTCTTTAAGACTTACATACTTCACTTAGGAGTTAGTAGAAACAAAAAAACGGGTTAAAAAGTTCACACTTGCTCATAAGGGATTGCTGGATTGTTTGAATTCTCTCTATAATGTTATGATAATTAATATTAAGCATACTGGGATAAACAACGGTGAGCATAATGGAAAACCTGAGGGGTTGGTAGAAATCAAAGGCGGTGCTAAAAGGGGGTAAATATCATTACATTTGCAGTCTGCTTGCTCATAAGTGATTTATTAGCAAACACACTATTACAAAGGCCACTAATTTCCTAAAGTATTTTTTCCCACAGTGGTTATGATAGATGTATTGACCTGAGACCTGTGCCAGTAAATGAGGCCATACTTGACCAGATTAAAGTAAGCACAGTATCAGCGTCTGTAATGACTACACCATCTAAGCCTAATGAATATTAATAAGGACCTACTCCTAACTACTGGGATACTTCCCATGTTAGTGACCCTAGTTTGTCTTCCAATGCATCTAGATTTGATCTTATTTTAAAAAATAAAGTAGAAAACTGTTCACAGCAGAATGTTTTGTTGTTAAAACATCATCATTTAACGTGCTTTATGAGTAATTTAATGAATAATGGATGCCATGCTCTGGTAGGAAATATTACAGTGCCTTGGCTGGTTTCTGTCAATATCCTTCTATTGTTTTCTCTTTGCATAAATCAATATACTGTCAACATGAAACCAATGAACCGGAAGGCAACTATAGTGATGAATAAATAGCTTCTTTGTATTGAATTCCTTATGAGACTAATAACAAACGAAAAAGAAACGCCATGTAAAGTAAATCAGCAAAAAAGACTGGTTTAATGGTTTAATCAGCTACTGCTATTTTTACCACTGTACCACATACTGCTTTATATTAATGCTTTTGCCACATATAAGGTTTATTTTCATCCACTGCGTGTGTTTCGTCATGTCATCATGTGAAGAAATAACAAGGTGTTTTATGTCAAGACAATAAAAAAAAGAAAAAAAATTCATGATAAGCTGTTGATTATACTGAGTCATAGTACTCCTTTGTAATACTGGGCTTCTCAAACTTAAAAAAAGTGCTGTGCATGAGTCACAAATGACAGACCTTATAAATTACTGAGTTGGTCTAATGAGCTTTAGATTATGAAGGTAATTTAACACTCTTTATAAAGGTTTGAAAGCTATATTTCTTATATGTATTAATAATTAATACATCAGTTGTAAGCCATTACCTCGAACAGCAGAAAATCCTCATCTAGCTTTGTCTTCAGTTTTAAATATACATAAAAGTCTCCTCAAAAGAACAAAGGGATTTAGTTCCAGCTGTTCAGCAGCATCTGTCATGCTGGAGGGGGACTTTCCAAGACCTCCCAAACCAAAATGTGTTCTTGACTCATAAATGATCCACATTGCATAACTGTATTATTTATAACTAACCTAAAACAAGTAGCTGCTGCTTTCATCCCATATATAGAGGGACTTTTTCACAAATAAAAGACTCACCATCCACTTTATTTGGTTTCTACTGGATCTGGATGGACGTGGTCAGTAACAATACTTAGGCAGTCTGTGGTGCTCAAACAGTTCTCTTGTGTGCCAAAAAATATCCCCCAAATTATTACACCTCTATTGGCAATCTGAACTAAAGGCAGGACAGGCCTGCTTTTATGTTGCTTACGTGAAAATCTGACCCTGCCATCCAAACGTCAGATCAGAAAGCTCTGCTATGCTACTTTCTTAAGTAACCCTATAGATGGCTGTGTGGGGAAAAAATCGGTTTCTGAAATACTTTGACCTACTTTGATCTGAGATCTAGCACCAACAACTATACCCAGTTGAAATCACCTTTCTTCCCTATTCTGATGCTCGGTTTGAACTTCAGAACTTTGAATGCCTAAATGTACTGAGTTTCTGCCATGGGATTAGCTGATTTGAAATTTGCATTAACAAGCATTTGAACAGGTGTACCTTACAAAGTGTCCATTTAGTGTAAACCTGTGTGTAGCACTTAATGCTGTGTGTTAAATTACAGGTACTGAGATTTTCAATAATCATCGATAACTGATATATAAAAACATTATTAAAGCTGTTTTTGCAAGCCTGTTTTTGTCTCTTACTGTTTTCTTTTACCTGGAAGATCAGATCTTGTTGCTGAACTAACATGGAACTAAAATTGTGCGCTCTCTCGTGCAGGAAAGGGAGACGTATTTGGGGACGTTTTCTGGAAAGAGGTGACTCTGGCTCAGTCCTGCGCCAATGTGCGAGCTCTGACCTACTGCGACCTCCACGTTATCAAACGCGACGCTCTGCAGAAGGTGCTGGAATTCTACACGGCATTTTCCAACCACTTCTCTCGAAACCTGCTGCTCACTTATAACCTGCGTAAGAGGGTGAGTTACTGTTCAGATGCCAGATACAGTTGACTGCATTTTCATTTAGGATTTACACAGAAGTTTTCATCTGCAAAGACTTCAGCCTTGTGCACAGTGGTACATGAAAAAGAAAAAAAATATTAACAAAGTAAAACAAACATTTTAGAATATATTTACAAATTCCAATAATATCTGTAAAGATAGTGTTAATATTACCAAGTACCAGACAGTGAGCAGTAAGTAAAGCAAAAGCTGAAGATTGCAACCTTTAAGGAGAGAGGGGTTTTTTTTGCAATCCAAGTTGAGATTGCATTAAATTCAACAAGATGAAAGCCTGGAGGATTTATTAAATAAATCAATCAATTAATCAATATTGAACCTATATATGTTTAGTCATGTCAATATATTTCACAGCAGAAGACAGCCTACCTTTCATGATCTGGACAATCACAATTGTTCACACGTATCAATTCTTGTTAAATAGGGGCCAGAAACTCCCACTCTGGGAAAAGGTAACCACAGAAAACCTTATATTCAACCTAAGGGACACGTGCACCTACTGCCTTCAGTCACACAGCACTGCATAGAAAAACAGAGCTCCATTAAACAGCCACCATATACTAAAGCCGCTCTCACATCCTTCATTCAGAAATGAACAGCTGTGATCAACAATAGCGTAAGAGTAGCTACCAATCACTGCTTCATTCTTTATGAGGTTAGCCTGCCCGGGAGAGTGCAAGTGAGATTGGATTGTTTGTATTTGAAGAGGCAATCTCATCTTCTGCATTAAAGTTACTATTCACCAGGGTCCCACGTCCTGAATGTATGCAGCAGGGAAATCCCGATATGGGTTGACTAAAGGAGCCTAATGTTGCCTTCAAATGGAGCTGCTGAGATTGTGTTTTTGACTGATCCAGCAGAGCAGACAATGTGCATTTGATCTGTACATCTGATGCTGTCTTACCTTTTCAAATGTGATGAGTGACTTTCTGCGTGTTGCAAATAAAATGCCCAGACTTTCTGAGTTAAAACTGCCACATAACCTATTTTAATCAGATACTTTCCATTTGAAAGTATTTGGTGCAGCAGAAGAATATTGTTAGAGCTCATTGTTGCTTCTAAATATGTTAGAAACTGGGGTGATTAGCCTGTAAGTGGACAATAGGTGGTAAAATGGCAGGTAGCGATGCAAGGCAGCAGTGGCATTGACATGTCAGAGGGAGAGATAGATTTATTTAATTTATCTCTCCCTAGAGAGATAGATTTGCAGATTAAATAAATGACCAAATTGGGAGGATGTTTTTGTTACAGCGTGAGGACAGTAAAGAATTAACCAACACAGCTTCAGTTGAGTTCCCTGCACTAGCTTTACTAGACTAGATTCTTCACCCACACCCAACCGAAAAGCAGGCTCAATAGGCAAGCAGACTAATAATTCCAGGGAATTGGACTACTGGGAACAGTTCTATACAAGAACCGGTTCTCGAGTTTCAGCACTGTCATGTATCCTTGGGAAAAACAAACAGCTACTCAAATTGTTTCACATTTTCATCTATTAAAATCCAAAATGTCAAGAGTAGTTTGCGCTTATTTTCATCAGCTTTTTTGGGGTTTTGCTTGCAGACCTTAAAGTTGAATTGCTTACTGACAAAATGAATGTTATATGTGAATGTTAGAGTGTGACGTTAATGAAGGTTAATAAAGTAATAAAGTGTTTTTTAATTATTACTTTTAATTAATATTAATCCCTAATTAATGAGACAAGTGAATCACTGGATTGGGAGACTGGGATTGTGACATTTTAAAGCACAGAAATAAAGCTACAAAGCTAAAAACTGAAAATACAAAATGCCTAAAAATATAGTTGTCCATTAGCATCATCTGGGTGGTAAACTGACAGTGAGCCTTCACGCACTGAAGCCAGAGGCTTGATATGAACTTTCCCTGTGCGCCATGGGAATTAGCCTTTTTAAAGTGACATTTGCAAAGAACACACATTTTTACATATTGGCAATCTTTCACACACAAATTCTACAATCAATAAGAGAGATGGTGAAAATGATGTTGATCTGCTTTTGTACTACTTCAGGAGACTAAACTGACATGGGTGTGAGAGTGGTTTGGGTATAATTTTTCTTGTGTGCTGTCAAAATCTGAAACTTTTGGTCAATAAACTTTGTGGGGGTTTTTTTTTTAATGATGGTCTTTTAGTCATAAGAATTTTAAATTCTCTTTCAGATCGTTTTTCGAAAGATCAGTGATGTGAAACGGGAAGAGGAGGAGAGACGGAACCGTAAAAATGAAGCCCCTCTGAATTTGCCACCAGATCACCCAGTACGAAAACTTTTCCAGCGCTTTCGACAGCAGAAGGAGGCCCGCATGGTGACTGGGAAACCAGAAACAGATGAACAAGACATTGAGAAGGGTCCTCTCTATGTGGACATCCCCAAAATTAAATCAGCTATTACAACTACCAGCATTGTCACTGTAACAGAAAGCCCAGCTACACCTTCATCTTCAACTCCTCAATCGCCATCACCTCTCAACTGTACGGTCGCAGACAAGGCAAAACTGCAAGTGCCATCGTCCATTTCTTTGGTTGGTGGCCGCTCTGCTGAACCACCCAAACTGAAAGGCTGGGGTCGCTTTAAGGAGTCGATGGCCAAAGCTGACAACTGGAACACAGTGTCTAAAGCTGAATCCATGGAGACTTTACCTGAACGAACCAAGGTGCAAGAATCCCCAATCTCTTTAAAAAAGACGGACTCATGTGACAGCGGCATTACCAAAAGTGAGTTACGCCTGGACAAAGTGGGTGACTTCCGCTTGACACCTCAGGACCGCAGTCCTGCCCAGCCTCCAGAAATGAGGCATTTCTTCTACCCCATCCCAGAGCAAACACTTCAGGCTTCACTGCAGGAGCTCAAGCTAGAGCTAAAGGATGACCTTAAGAACCTAAATGTTCGAATGTCAGGCCTAGAGATGCAACTCACAGAAGTGCTAAAACTCCTGAAAGCCAGCCATTCAAGCTCTAGCTCTCCACAGCATCTTTTTGACATTTCTAGACCTGCTTCACCAGAAGTGGACAAAGAGGATATCTTCTCTTGAAGAATGAAAGAGTCATCCGGCAACAGTTGACCTTAAATTCAGCTGAATCCAGTAATATTACAGATTACTCGGATAGCTGAGACCACACTGGGTATACCATTTAGATTAGGCAGCAGTGTAGTAAGATGCACCAGCCTTCATCCTAGGGTGTACCTACCTGGTAGCAAGGTAACGTCGTGCTGACAAGTTGAGGTCGTAACCTAGATTTTTGTGTCTTGGAATCTAATATCTGAAGGTTACACAAAAACTGACAGCTCTCTGTTTGTACATACGTTTGATTTATCTTTCCGCTGCACTATGATGGAAAAATACTTTGAGGGGTGGCATTTTATGAAAAGTCTGTTCAGATTTTGGGGGAGGTAGGAGAAGGAGGTATCTCCATTGGAAGGTTCCAATGGAAACAGCATGACCCACTGGTTTGTTAGCATTTGTAAGAGATTCTTTGCATGTCACATAAAGTAGACGTCTGCCTCAAATAGCAGTTGGCGCATATTTGATTAATTGAGGCCGCACGCCGATCCATTTGCATTATTTCACATTGACAGGGAAAGAGGACAGTTTTTGCAGATGCTGAATCAATCTTAATGTAATTTCCTCAAACAGTTATGTAATTATATCAGATGCCAGAATCATTATGAATTAAACAACAGATAACTCTGCCCGACCAATCTGATTTTCAAAAACATGTTTGAGCGCAGATCCTAATTTCAATAAACCACAAATAGATGTGCTTCATGGAAAATTGAAGGAAATGCTAACTAGTGAGGCAGCAATTGGCAAGTTATCCCTCTTTCCTGATATCTAGGTTTACTATGTTACAGCTTTGGTGATACATACAGTAATTTTATAGGTACTGACTGTGGCCAAAACCCTTACAAATATAGAAAGTAATGGCGATTTGCACAATATTTGTAAACTACAATTTGTGTACAATAAAACAGGCTGTTAGAAAGTGGACTGAGATCACCAGACCATTTTTGACTTTAATGGTCCCTTAAGTATATTTTTACATTTTAATCCTGTTAACATGCATGATTTAACATTTCTGTTTGTCCTCATTTTTACTTGAGAAAGCAAACAAACAAAAACGCTAATATTAGGAGGTCTTTTCGGAGCACAAATTCAGAGTGAGTGTGTGAAATGCAGATGATCTTGAACTGTTTTAAATGTGTTAACTTGCTTCTGGCTTTGAAAAATTGAAGAGTTTCCTTCAGAGTGGGAAAAATCTTTAACCCCTCAACGCCTTTTTAATATGATGCAGTCAATACAAAAAATGTGTTGCAGACATTCAAATGTTTTTTAAAACAACACACTTGGTGCAGTAATGCCTGAATTATGCTTCAGTGGGAAATCTACGGCATAACTTACAAGATAACCGGAAACCCCTTTTTTAACCGTACACCTTCCACATAACCTGATGTGCCCCTCCCAAGAAATATAACTACGGGCCGGGTCGACATAGCCCACGAAGACTGAATGCCGTGGAAGGTCCAGTGTAGGGTTAAAAGGGGTGACCGGTTACATCGTCAGTTATGCCGTAGACTTTCCACAGAAGTCCATATCACGCATAGCTGTTGTAGGAGTGTTTCATATAGATGGTGTATGTTTATGTTAATATATATTATTTAATTGTTACAATATACACTTTCACTTCATCAGGTACACCTTGCTAGTACTGGGTTGGACCCACTTTTGCCTCTAGAACTAGCTTATTTCTTCATGACATACATGTAGATTCAATAAGATGCTGAAACATTGCTCAGAAATTTTGGTCCATATTGATGTGATGGCATCATGCAGTTGCTGCAAATGTTCCCCTTTTTAAGAAAACAGTCTGAGATGATATAATTTTGTGACATGGGACTTTATTCTGCTAGAAGCAGGCATCAGACTAGCTGACATTTTTCCAATCTTACTACTGTCCAATTTTGATGAACCCTTGTGAATTGTAGCCTCAGTTTCTCGTGGCACCTGGTATGGTATTCTGCTGCTACATTCGGTGATGCCCTTCTGCATATCTTGGTTGTAACTAGTAGTTATTTGAGTTTCTGTCGCCTGCCTTCTCTGACTTCTGGAATCAAGAAGGTATTTTCACCCAAACCCAGTTTTCCTTTTTCAGACCATTCTCTGTAAACCCTAGAGGTGGTTACGTGGGAAAATTCCAGTAGGTCAGCAGTTTCTGAAACACCCAGAGCAGCCTGTCTAGCATCAAAAACCATGCCACTTTCAAAGCCACTTAAATCATCTCTCTTCACTGGATATCTGCATGCCTAGATGCATTGTGCTGCTGCCATGTGATTTGCTGATTAGATATTTTTGTTAAGCAGTCAAACAGGTGTACCTAATGAAATGGCTGGTAAGAATATAGATTTAATGTGATTATTTTTAAATTTTTTAAATGAAACATCTTTATTTTATTTTACTGTGAACATGCTATTATTTCTTTTTAATATCAAAAGACTTGTTTTTCCCCAATTCCACATAATCTTCAGTAGTTGTAGCGTCTAACTGGCCAAGAAGAGCTGCATTTGTATCATACAGACATTTAGTTTATACTGATGAGCAACATGCTTTACGTAACACGATGACTACTGTAGACTCTGAGGGTAGAAATTGAATGTTGACATAGAATGCTGTATTTTTATCAAGTCCCAAAATGTATTTATTTATTTATTTTTTGTATTGAACACAAGCATCAGGCAGATTCCTCCAATCATTATAAATAAAATATACAATAACAGGAACAATCTCTACAATTTCATTTTTCTCGTTAACTCTTGTTAAATAGGGATTAACTCAGATTGCAATAATTCCTGCATGATAAATACTAAAAGTTTACATATATGCCAAATATTATCAAATTTGTCCTTCGACTTTAAATTTAATGACCAAAACAAATTGACACACGTTTCCGAAAGCAAACAAACAAAAATACAATAGACAATCAATGTGATCAATGTGGACAGGCTGACTGAGTGGAACCTAAATGAGAAAAATATGCATGAAACAAAGTAAAGCAGAGCAATGCACTCTGGTATTAAGCAATAAAAAAAAGGCACAGTTAGCTTTTACAGTACAATTTAGTTCTAAGATATCCGTCGCCGCACTTGAGAAACAATGAATAATGGAAGAAAGTTTCATAATACTCTGCAAATGTGAGTCATTTTTTAAACAATCAGACTGCAGGTAATGAAGCCTGGAAAGTGGTTGCAATCAGCTGAAATAAAGTTTTATATCACTGAAATTAACGCTTGTATTTCTAAAACGAATAATATGACTTTTGGTTCGTCTTTGGAAAAAGTAGGAGCTTTACTGAATTTATCCAATAAAAGCACTTCTTTTCATGAGAAAAAATAACCATTTTTCTTTATTATTCATCACTCATGGATAATTTATGTTCCCTGCGCGCTTTCTCCGTCACAAAAGACAAGCTGGGACGGACACAGCTGAGAGGAAAAAGATGCTGAGGTTTTTACTCCAACACTCGTGTTCCATCAAAAATTCAGCCCGCTAAAAATAAATGGGCATGTCATCACAGAAGTGAGAACTCATTAGGTTTATTGCCAGTGTTTGGGGGTCTGCTTCTCCAAGAATTGTGATCTCAAAACCAAAGAAAAGGCACTAAAAATCACCATGGCCTCTCGATCACAGATTATTCATGAAGCTGCTGCGCAAGAGTTCACAAATCAAAGGGAGAGGAAAAGAGGTCAGATGGCATCGCTGAGGAATTCAGTCACTGTAATGAAAGAAGGATCTAAAGATTATGTAACTCAAGACAAAGTCTTTATCTTAGCAGCAAAATCAACCATCAGATGTTTTTAAACGCTTTGAAAGTGCAAACAGATGTGACAAAAACGTATTTATTATCTATGAATAGATGAGATGAGGATGATCATCTCATCTAGTCATTATGTTTGAAGCCAGCAGAGTTCAACGCAGACTCTGATAATTGACAAATTTCTGGCTGTGAGCCTGCAACTCTTTTCTTTTCAGATCTGTTTTTGTAAGTGACTATTTTAATGTTCAATTTCAAGTTATCTGAAAAAAAAAGAAAAGAAAAGATAGGGTTTAGTTTAATACCTGCTACTGCGGCTTTGACAATTTAGCATATAAAGCATGGTTACTTGAACAAAACTCATTCCCAACACGGTAGGATAAATCCAGTAAAGTTACTGCGCTATTTTAAGAAAAAGCAGACCTACTTTGGCGGTTTTGAGGCTACATTTGGCAAATGCTAAGTCAGGTTTACATCAATAGCATGCGCAATTCTTGAAACAACATTAAAGTATAATTTAACAATATCTATGTTGTGAGAGGAGTTAAACCACACTCATGTCTGTGCAATAACTGCAGAATAATGGGCCGCTCACATAAACATACTTAGAGAGTGACAGGATGCTTTGTGCAGCCCGCTGAGCACCCGAGATTTAAACTCCACTTTATGCAAATGATCCAACAACCACACAAGAACCAGTTACACCCATTTTAGTGTGCACTGAAAACTAAGCGCAGCGGTTTAGTACTCTGCTCCACCAAGGGTAGGGAAATTGCTTCAGCGCATACATACGGCTGTAATCATTATCAGTCTCGTTGGTTTTGTATAATAACAGATTCAACAGTGGTTTAAAAACTGTGTAACAGGGAAATGAAGTGTGCTGTATGGCAGCAGCATGCCCCCCTCCTCCTCCTTCATCCTTTTCTCTTGCTGTCTCCTAAGAGACAGACAGAAAACCCAGAACTCATTAAGGCAAAAAACTGAAATAGTTGCAATTGTTACCTTGATTAAATTGGATTTTAACTCAGTTCCACCAACAATGGAAAAACTCAACGAATACCAGTAATCTAATTTATATGTAATCCATATGTGATTACAGGAGGCTTTTAGAAAGAAACATTTCTAGGGCTAACAATGGATTTGTAGTCATGTAGATGTCAACACTTTAAATCTTCGTGTCAAACAGAAGATTAAATGAAAACACCTGCACTGATTTTTTTTGTTGTTGTGAAAAATGGCACATTAAAATGGATCTATTATGCTTTTTCTTCTTACAGTTTTAGAGGCTTTCATTAAATATGGTGAAAGATTTAAAAAAAAAGTAAGGTTAGTACATGTGCGACTAATTCCTTTTAACCAAATGCTCAGGTTTAAGAGTTTTTCTTGTTTTTGTTTTGTTTTTTTTAACACTGGTTGATGTCAGAGAAAACAGATATTCCTAATATGGTCATCTAACAGAAGCTCCTCCCACCTGTTAAAATCTGTGAGAGGCAACCAATCACCAATCAATATCAGCCTTAAAACAACTTGATTCAGACAGTGGATGAACTGAGGGGCTGCACCAAGGCCTAGCATAAAGTTTTTAACGTTTATTTTGAACTGCGAATCATACAAATCTATTCTAGTGGAGTCCAAGAATAACAATGTGAAGCTGGAAATGAGTGTAACTGGTCCCCTTTCAGATATAATATTTTCACTGAAGCCACAATAAATTGTTGTTTCACTTTATCAATGACAGAGCTGGTAATATTCATATATTTAAACTTTTATTATGAATGACACAACCTATGACTATCATTTGGTATGTACCTTATTCCATCATTGTGATCGGTTTTATTCATATTGTAAATTTACTGTTATATTACTTTTACATTTGTTGCATTAAGGCATAAAACCAAGTCTGATTGTTTTCAAAATGAAAATAGTAAAAAACATGAAATCTGATTCATGCAGCTCAGTAACAAAGATATGGCCCGTGCAGGGTACTCTCACTTAGGCCTGTGGCAAGGCCATAAATATACAATCCTAAAAGGGATGCACTCTAAAATGCTTGAAAGCAATATGTAGTTCTTTGCTTTAACATTTGTAAAAAACAAAAAACTGATCCAAAAAACAACGCAAATATAGAAAACATCAAGTTACCAAGTACAGCACCACGGTTTCATAACATCAACATTTACATATTAAAGTCGTTACCTTTGATTGCTACTGAGAAGCATGCAACACTGTGCCTTCATGATATTGCCCCATTCTCCTTTTCCAAGCAGCATTAAATACCCAAATTACTGTTGCTCCTTTGAGAAGATTTACACTGATCTATTTTTGTGGTCAGCTATGGAAAGCTGCCTAGTTAGCAAACTCTACACAGAGATATAGAAATAGATATATAGAGAGATATGCACAAGTTGTACTGCAACATTTGGATTCTTAAGAAAGAGCAGAATTTGAATTTTATGTATGGTTTATGTATTATGCACATGCCTCTATGTTCACGTCATGTGATGAGAAATGTATTTTAAGCACAATGGAAACTCCGTGTTATGAACTGTGATATACTGTGCTATTCATAATAAATATTTTATACATGCTGCACGCTGTCAGATCTCTTCAGGCAATGGTTCATGGGTGTCTTTCGTGTTGTTGCGTTATGGCTCCTCTGTTAACGATTAGGACGCGTCTCTAAGAAGGTGTAACTCAGCAGGTGTATTCTGCTGCTGATCTTCTTATGTCAGATAAGCCTCACACTTTTGTGCTAATTTAAGAGGATTCTTCACTGCCCCCACTGATCCTCCTTAGTGCCACAGATGTGATTATCCCAATGAAAGACATCAACTAATGGAAACACCTGAGCCTTATCAGAACAGCAGAGTCCAGATTACAATGTACTTCTGTTACTTAAGAGCAAACAAGCTTGTGTCATACAAGTGTTTAAACACCAAATTGCAGACCAGTGCAGGTTAAGCAATTTAAACTTTGGGGACAGTCAGTTGCTGTGGCATGATCATGCGAAACTCAGGACCCTGAGGCAAGGTAATAGCTTTCAGTTATGACACATCTGACTAAAAATTCATTAATTCCTAACCTAATCTTCTTGAATCCGTACCCCGGAGCTGTTTACTTTCATTATTGTGCACTGTGAATAGCAAGAAGCCCGGACTGTTTTGCCACATTGCATGAAAAGCACAGATTACTTAAGTACTTAAACATAAAGTTTAAAAAATGTTGACAAACCCCTGAAAGGTAAAGAGCAGATGCAAATCCCTTGGAGTTGGTAGCCTTGGTTGCCAAAAACTGTGCTGTGGCTCACTGGTCAAACTTTAAAATGTAAAATTTACTCTTAATAAATTACATGTTCCAGGCTTTCATAACCGATTAATGTGAAGATTTCTTTCTCTTCTACCAACGTGGCTGAATAATGAGGTAAATTAATCTCAATTTCTGTTGAATGTCTTATGGTTATTTGATTAGTTTTCATGAATTTTCACATTCAACTCTCCACAGTTTGGTTTGCCATGCAACAAAAAATCTTCAACCTCTCTTTAAGGATCAGTCTGGAAAACAAAAGGTAACAAACAGTTTCAGTAGAGCTGATCTCACCAATTATTACACTGATGTGTCATATACTATCACTTTTGTCAAAACCTTTTTCAAAATTTCACCAAAGAGCCACAGTGGTGGACTGATTGTAATCGATGTACTCAATCACTGTCCTAAAAATATGTAGTAAACACTAATCTGCTGTTACAAGAACATTTAATAATGTATTTTAAAAAATATTAGTAAATAACTAGGCCCAACGGGACACAGTGGGTGACTCAGAAAAACATTAAGAAGATAAATTGTTTTATGTTTTGGCACGTTCAGATGTTTCTTTCTTTTGGCAACTAGCTTTACACACCACATTTTGCATTCATTATAGTCATCAACCTTAGAATAAAGCTGTTTTAAAATCATTTTTGCATGATGATTTATGGAAGGCTTAAAGAGTTCCTCTGTCTAGAATATGAAAATTTAAAGCCTGTAATGTACTGGCAAAAAGCTCTCAGAAGAGCTGACATTTTTAATGGATTAAAATTGAAGCTGAGGCAGAAGTAGTAGGTGCTGGCACCCAAAAAATATCTGGCTACAACACAGTATTCAAAAAGTGTCAGCTTCTCTAATGAAATACTAAGTCATTACATTTTTTTCCACCACTCATTATGATGTCAGTTAAATTCACAATCTCCCCTCCATATAATGAAAAAACTTAATAGATATTAGCCATCAAACACATGTCAAAAAGACATATGTTTGGAGCAATGCCTCAGTGACTCTGTGTGCCTGAAAATGATTTCCCTATCGTTATTACTGAAGAGGTTTCAGAGATCCCTCTCATCCTCTGTGTCATTTCTTCACTTGCTTTTTAAAAAATGGGGCAATTGTGCAGGAGTAAAAATTCACCATCAGCGTCATTAGTTACACCTTGCTAGTTCCTCATCGGACTCCCTTTTGCCTTTTTCAGAACTGCCTTAATAAAACGAGGTGCTGGAAACAGTCATCAGAGATTGTTGAAGAGAGAAGTTGAAGATTTGTCATCTTCGCATCCATGTTGTGACTCTCCCATTCCACCACATCCCAAAGGCACTCTATTGGATTGAGATCTGGTGACTCTGGAGGCCATTTGAGTACATTGAACCTATTGGGTTGGAGAAACCAGTTTGAGATAATCTAACCTTTATGACAGGGTGCATTAAGGGGCCCAAATTATGCTTTTCAAACCATTACACCACCACCACTGGCCTGAACTGCTAATAAGTGCAGGATGGATTCATGCTTTCATGTCATTTATTTCAAATTTTGACTTAACCATCCAAAAGTGACAGCAGAAATCAAGACTCACCAGAGCAAGCAAGATTGTTCTAACCTCCTATTGACCTGTGTGAATTGTGATGCCTCAGTTTCCATTTTTAGCCGATAGGAGCTGCACCTGGTGTGGTATTCCACTGCTGTAACCCATCTGCGCTGACGTGGTGTGCACTCAGAGATGCTCTTCTGCGTGACTTAGTTATTTGAGTTACTGTTGCCTTTCCATCAATTCAAAGTAGTTAGCTATTTCCTCTGACTTCTGGGATCAATGAGGCATTTCTCCCAGTGAACTGCTGCTCACTGGGTAATTTCTCTTTTTTGGACCACTCACTGTAAACCTTAGAGACAGTTTTTTTGGGAAAATCCCAGTAGATCAACAGTTTCTGAAATACCCTGATGAGCCTGTCTGGCATCAACAACCATGCTATGTCCAAAGTCGCTTAAATCACCTTTTTTCCCACCATGTCTACATGCTAAAATGCAATGAGTTCCTGCCATGTGATTAGCTGATTAGATATTTGCATTACGACCCTTAGAAATGTCGAACAACACTGATTAACACGGAGTGTATATAAGGCTATATTATATTTATTCTTAATATGCACAGTATAATACCTGGTTTTGAAGTAAATGGAGTGAATATTGAGTAATATACATTGACATTTAATCTGGCAGTGTAACTTTGAACATACAATTCGAAAGTGCCTTAAATACCCCCCCAACCCCCCACACACACACACAACAACAACAACATCTATCAGCTCTAATGCACATTATTCAGCAGTGTCACTCTCACATGTGTAATCAGCCTATGACTTGCAAAACCCCCTTGAAACAAAAGCTTTACAGTAAACCACAGATGGATTGGACTCCTCTGCTGTTTCATAACCCTCAGTGTTAATCACATTGCTTTGACTGAGCAGGCACATTCTGACAGTCCTTGATGACCAAGTACTTGACAGATTTGGACAGATGGCAGATGAGTTTTGCAACAAAATGAGATTTTACTTTTGTCTAAATTTAGTTGTTATGTTGACATTTTGGAAATGAAAGGTGATTTAGTGTGTAACAACAAATAAGCCAAAAACAGCTTGTCATTTATTACATCCCAGATGTAATAAACTGATAATCAACAGGATTAGTGTTTTCAATCAAAGGCTGCAGTTGGATATGCTTTTTTTTGTCAACCGTCTACATCTGATTGTTTTTTGTGGAGAGCTACAGGAAGACGGTACTTTCTTCAGCTTCCTGCAACTCCGAGCAATACCTTGTCAAAGTCATATAACCAAGAGAGAGATTCAGAGTCCACATTTTCTTTTACAGTTTCTTAGAATAGCAGTGATTTCATCTAGCTTACTGCCTCAGAGCTGCTATTACAGACTGCCCTAAATTTTCAGCAATTTTATTACAGTTTGGGTGCACTTACATTTCACCCAAAGTTCAGAAAACTTTCTCTGTAAGTATCAGCTTACAGACAAATTTTGTGCAGACCTGCGGGTTTTGGAAAGTGGCTGCTCAGCCGTACTTCAGCCAGGTTTGGACAGGTTGTGTGGCTATGAGCCAGGTCCACCACACTGAGACTCTGGCTGGTGAGAGCAAGGCAGTGGAGTCAGCAGGTTGTTGTATCTGTCCAGTAGCAGGGATTCTCAGTCACTGCTCTTAAGTCAAGGTGACTCACGGTGGGTGAGGAGTCCACTCAAGTCCAATCTGAGCATAGCAGTAGAGGAAAGCTAGCATTGGTGGGGCCATGGTAGACCAGCCTGAAACAAAAAGAAAGCAAATATATTTGCATGTTTTTCAACTTACAAACTATCTGGATAATGCAGTCTATGTGTTGTTGTCAGTTATTTAATTATGAATGAAGCTTAAACGCAGCTTAAAAGTATATGCTAAGTGAGTAGGTTTGCTCATTTCCCTGTGCCATACTGCATCATGTTACGTTTTTTCCCTCCTTTTTCTATATTTAGCTGTTTCTCCGAGGGTCGTGCAGGCAGGTAAGGACAGCTGTCTGCACCTCCTCCCCAACTGGCCTGCCTCCAGATTATCTCAGTAACCTGCACCTGCACCCACAATGCTTTTCAATGGTCTATTCTTTTCTATTCATGCCAAAATCTAATTCACGCACACACTGGCTGCTTTATGCACAGCTGTACTGTCAGTTTTCTGTCTGCGTAAAAAAAAAGGTTACATGAGCTGAGGCCAGAAAAGCTTTATTATGATGCAAAATATTTTAATGGCGCACGGAGGATAAGTTTTGTGTTGTGTAGTATGCATAGTGCGTTTCTGTCTGATTGCAACCATCTTTAAGAAAAGCCTTGATGTTTTAGTAAATATGAACTAATTATTAATCACATTGGGTATAACCATTTTCACATAAGCTATCATTATATGAAGCCTTTCTCACCTGTTTATTCATTATTTAAAGCCCTCTAGCCTACATGTACATTATGAGCCAAGACACCCCAGTGTTTTGCCTTTGCAGGTATCTGCATTTCATTAACACCCTCAGTGCGAAATATGTTCTCCAGCCAGTTATCCAATCTTTAATGTGGCCAACAACTAACATAGTAGAAAGGCAAAGTTGAAAGAAACACTACTAGCCAAATATAACTTCAGAAATATGTTGGAACTGATTGTATTTTTTAAAAATGTATTCGGTGCTTTCGTTTCTTCTTGATTATTCGCAATCTTTTTTGCAGGCAACTAAAATCTAAAAACAAAATAAAACCAACTGATGACCAGAACAACTTTTCAGATAAAAGAAGAAACTTAAAAATTGTAGGTTAGCTCTTTTTTTCACCTCTTTGTTTATATAATATCACTAGAAAGGGAGAAGTAGAGGAAAATGTGATTGTTTTCCTACCACTGACAGTCACTCAGTCATTTTTCTATGGACTCTGTCCCATTTCCTATCAGTGGATTATGGATTCACCCAGCTAACAAAGCTAACTAGCCATTGCTAGCTTAGCAACTCTATCCGGTTGTTAAGTGATGACGTGACGAATCCTACTTCCGGGCCTAAAGTAGTCTGTTTAATATGGCTTTTGTGTTGTTAACATGTTTAATGTTTTGTATTTTCTTCTATTTAATCTCAAAAAGCTCCTAAAACAGTCAGTGATCACTGTGGACCTCCCTCGGCTTTTATTACCGCTAATCATTTATTTAAGCTCAGTTTTTAAAACCTTAGGATGTAACTACAACCCAGCCCATGCAGCAGTATATGAATGACTAACCTCATACACTCAACAAAAATAT